CCTTATTGGAAACCTGAGAACCTATGGTAATGACTCATAGATACATTGTGGAAAAGACTACTCAAAATCATCAAGGCTAGAGGTCTCTATTTTGTTTATTCATTACTATCAAAATCCTTTTTTTTAACATAGTCATAGACTAAAGCCCATTACAGAAGCCCTCATGGCACTGCTCTGTTTGAAAGGTTTGGAACCCCCTTCCCTTCCTACTCTCCAGTGCTATAGCCCCTGAAAGACCTCCTCAGAAAGAACCTGGAGCACTAAGGAGCACAGTTTGAGTAATCATTCATCTGGGTGGTCTTTACATTTCACAGTAGAGAAACCTGAGGCCCAGACAGGGAAGGGACTGGCCTGAGATCCTGCAGCCTGTCACAGGCAGAGCAGGGCATGCTGGTCTCTTGGATTCTCATGTCCTGCCACTTCTCCCATCCTGTAATCAGCTCTTCAGGTTTAGGCATCTTGGCCTCTGCAGAATTGTGATCCCTGAACATTGATCATTCTTTTGAACTGATCAGAAAATTTTTCTTGAGTCCTGTACTCTACCTTGCTCTATAAACACCAGGCAAAAAAAGTAAGATGTCACTAGGTCCCCTGGAAGCTTCTGGCCTAGCTGGGGATGCTACACATAAAGTAATGGGTGACTCAGGCTGTGGAGTCTGTAATAACTTTCCATGACTAGGTCATAAGATTCTAATTTGTTCAGGCCTGACAGTACCTAGGGAGGGTCACCTATAAAAAGGTGTTAATTTGAAACCAGAAAAAGGTTGAGAGCACAAGCAAGACCTCTCAGGAAAAGCTTCCTGGAAGAGATAGAAGTTGAACAGGATCTTAACAGGGAAGCAGTAGTCTTGACAGAAGGACACCACAAGCAATGGCAGAGTTGACGCCAAACCCTACGAAGTCTTCCTCCACACCAAAGTCTGCCTGGGGCCCCAAGAGCTTGTCCCCTTCACTGGCCTACCCAGAACCTTCCCGCCCCAAAAGGGCAGGTTTCTGGAGCATACTTTCCAGCCCCTGCCTACTCTTCCCTGGACAGTTCTTTTTCAGCAAACCCCTGCGGATCCTCAACATCCTGCTGCTGCTGGAGGGTGCCGTCATTGTCTACCAGCTGTACTCCTTAATGTCCTCTGAAAAGTGGCACCAGACCATCTCACTGGCGCTCATCCTCTTCAGCAACTACTATGCCTTCTTCAAGCTACTGCGGGACCGCCTGGTGTTGGGCAAGGCCTACTCGTATTCAGCCAGCCCCCAGAGGGACCTGGATCACCGGTTCTCCTGAGCCCCAGAGCAACCTCAGGGACATCATCCTCCGGCCAGGGGCTCCCTGGGAAGGGGCTGTTGGGGAGGGTTGGGAGAGGTAAAAAAAAAAAAAATACCCACCAGAGCTTTGTATTTTTGTTACACACTGTTTCTTTCTTTGATAATTGATGTGATTATGAGGGGAAAAAATTCCTATTTTTATACTCCAATAAGCCTGTGTCCTGTAGTTCTTTCTCTTCTTGCCTGTCAGGCAGAGTGCAGAGGTGGGATTCTGAGCCAGGAAGACCCACTTGTGGCTCCTGGGGCCCCTGTTGGCTCTGCCTTCTCCCATAGAGAGAAGATAAGGCCCTAGAGGCCATGGTAGCAGTGATGGCTGCTGCTAGCTGAGTGTTTGCTGGGTAGCACACATGATCTTTGTGTGGTAGAGGCCTGATATAATCCAAATGTTACAACAACCCTAGAAGGTAGGTGCTGTCACTCCTATTCTACAGATGAAGAATAGCTCAGAGAATTATAGTGACTTGCTGCAGGGTAACACAGCTAGGACATAGAGGTGGGCAAAAAAAGTCCTCCAAAAGATGACACTGCCATCATAGCAGAATGCAGTGTCCTGATTCTCAGCATGCAGTCACTGAGACCCTGCCCTGTGCTTTAGTTGCTGTGGTAGTAAGGATGCCAAGACCCAGAAACAAGGTCATATTACACTGGCTTGGGTATAACAGTTGCAAGATACAAAGTAGCACAACGGGGAGAATGTTTAATGCTCTCTGGACTTCTTGAAGTAGGGGATCACGAGCTGTATCAGCCACTTGATAGGTGAACAGGAAAGCACTTTAAGGAGAGAAAAGGGCACATAAAATAGAGATTTGGAACATCCTGGTATATTTGGGAAGAGTAAGGATGTGATTCCTAGAGCAGAAAGGATAAGGTTGGGATGGGGTAGAGCTGGAAAGGCCTGCAGGGTCAGGATAGGGGAGGAAGAGGGTTCTAGGCTAGGGAGAGCATGAGGGCAAGACCAAGTGCTGAATTGGAAACAGCTGCTTGGAGGGCCACCTGGCTCCTATGGGACATAGGATGGGGTGCTCAGCGGCTGGCTGGAAGGAGAGAGAGAGAGACATAGCCATTCATCTAGTCTGCCTGTGTTCCCTGAGCTCTTGGCCACAGGATATGCAGATGAGTCCATGGTGGTATATTGGAGACACACTGCAACTCATGTTTTTGGTGTCTACTGAGGCAACTTTGTGCTAGGACAAATGCTGAAGATACTATTCCTTCCATAGAAAAGAGAGAGACCTTATGATCAAATTAGGTTGCTAAGTACTGAGAAACATGCGTGTCTAGGGCATTGGGGAACAAAGAGGTCAGATATCTTGACCGGAAAGAGGCTTTTTCTCAAGGAAATGAGTTGAACTGGGTGTTGAAAGTGAGTAGTTACGCCATGGTCAAAGGGGAAAGGAGGCATGTTCCAAGTAGAGGAAATGGCATATGCCAAGGCCCAAAAGAAGATAGCGCAGTTGGGGAAAAGTAGTTCCCCCCAAATATAGATGAACCCTTTGTCACCTGGTGGGGAGGTGCCCGAGAAGCTAGTAAGGACCAGCCTGTCTGTCAGATGGAAATGTTTGGGCATCACCTAACGTCAGACAGACAGTTACAAAGCAGAGGAGTGACATGAGAAGATCTCTGCTTTTAAGAAGATGGTACAAGTGGGAAAACCCAGAAGCAGGAGACCAGTGATGAGGCAGGCAAAATAAACTAGAAGAGAATTAAGACATCTGACTGAGCAGTAGCAGTTGGAAAAGAAAGATTGGGCTCTCCTCACCATGAGTTCTAGAACTGGCTTTTTGAGTTGTTTCCCTTAACGAGTGGGCCAGACACACCACTAGAGTGGACGTGTGACATTTGTTGTGACAGGACCTGGAAGCCCAGATCCCTCATTCTGCTTCCAGACAGCTCCCTCCTGTGACCAGGGACTTGAAGACAGCCTTCCTTTGTGTGTGGAGATGGGGACCTGGAGGACTGCCATGTCATTATGCAAAAAGGGAGGCTTAATGTGCACCAACCATAAATTCCATGATTCAAAAGGCATATGAACACTCAAAGCCTCATTTCCTCATCTCTAAAAAGGAAGAATCATATCCCTTGCTTAGTGTAACCCACAAGCCTATTCATTCGTTTGTTTATTCATTCCAACAATTGTTTATGGAGCACATACCATGTGCCAGATACTGTTCTAGGTGCTGAAGATGTAATGAACAACACAAAACCATCCCTTGTCCTCAAAGAGCTTGCTGTGAGAATAAGTGAAATAGACATTGGCCAACTAAATAAGAAAAAACCAGTCTCTATTTTTCTACTTACCACCTAGTAAAATTGTAATCGGTTTTACTCTTGACTTCATTTCCTTATCTCTGTCTATTTGAGCAAGTCACTTTCCCTCTCCTGATGATTCCCTATTCATATCTAGCTCAGGGTCTATGACTGGATTTAGTTATGAAAGTAAGGAATACCTTTTTGGGAGAAAAAGTTTCTAGGGTAGGACATCTCACTATAAAGAGGAAATAGCAGAAAAAGATGGGAATTCCTAAGAGCATGTAACTTTCTTTTTTTATTTTTATTTTTTATTAAGTTATTATTGATATACACTCTTATGAAGGTTTCACATGAAAAAACAATGTGGTTACTACATTTACCCATATGTCACTGTCCATCAGTGTAGTAAGATGCCACAGATTCACTATTTCCCTACTCTGTGCTACACTGTTCTCCCCGTGATCCCCCACACCATGTGTACTAAACATAATACCCCTCAATTCCTTCTCCCTCCCTCCCCACCTGCCCTCCCACACCCCTCCCCTTTGGTAACCACTAGTCCCTTCTTGGAGTCTGTGAGTCTGCTGCCATTTTGTTCCTTCAGTTTTGCTTCATTGTTATACTCCACAAATGAGGGAAATCATTTGGTACTTGTCTTTCTCCGCTTGGCTTATTTCACTGAGCATAATATCCTCCAGCTCCATCCATGTCGTTGCAAATGGTAGGATTTGTTTCTTTCTTATGACTGAATAGTATTCCATTGTGTATATGTACCACATCTTCTTTATCCATTCATCTACTGATTGACTCTTAGGTTGCTTCCATACCTTGGCTATTGTAAAAAGTGCTGCGATAAACATAGGGGTGCATATGTCTTTTTGAATCTGAGAAGTTATATTCTTTGGGTATATTCCAAGGAGTGGGATTCCTGGGTCAAATGGTATTCCTATTTTAGTTTTTTTGAGGAACCTCCATATTGCTTTCCACAATGGTTGAACTAGCTTACATTCCCACCAGCAGTGTAGGAGGGTTCCCCTTTCTCCACATCCTCACCAGCATTTGTTGTTCAGTCTTTTCCATGCTGACCATCCTTACTGGTGTGAGGTGATGTCTCACTGTGGTTTTAATTTGCATTTCCCTGATAATTAGTGATGTGGAGTATCTTTTCATGTGTCTGTTGGCCATCTGAATTTCTTCTTTGGAGAACAGTCTCTTCATATCCTCGGCCCATTTGTTAATCGGGTTATTTGTTTTTTTGGGTGTGAGCACGTAACTTTCTTAGGAGGTATCTCCTCCAGTCTCTCTTTACCCACTTCTTTTATACTCCATCCTTATTCCTTCCCTCCACCTTTAGTAGTTGCGGTCTCTTTAAGTGCGCCCCTCAGTGTAAACTAGGCTGTAGGACTGAGAGCGCGTTTCTTGCCGGAGTTGACGGTTAAGTTGTTTGTCCGTGTCGGCTTGCCGTCCTGCGGACCCGCCATATTGTCTGCTGAGGCTGTCGCTGCTGCCGCCGCCAAGTAGGAGCGAGCGGAGCCGCGATGGGTGAGTAAGGAAACCAAGCCTTTGGGGACTCGAGCTGAGGCAGTCTCGGGGCATGGGGTCTGTGGAGAGCCTGTCTCCGGTCTGCAGAGGATGTCGGTGGCCCCTCCTAGTAGGGGAGTAGGTCTGAGGAGGGGAGCCAGGCCGGGAGTGCCCCTCAGGCCAGTTTGGGGCCGGACTGGGGCCCACGCGGGGAGCAGTCCAATGTGCTGGTTTCGGGAGCACCTTGCCACACCTGGAGCCCCACGTGGTGGCCCTGGGCTGGAGCCCACGCGTCCCCGGGGGCCAGAGAGGGGCCGAGCCTCCGGCCTGCGCCGAAACGGAGCCGGGGGCCGGGCTGAGGGAGGCAGGCCCGGACGGCGGTAAGGGAGCCCTCTCGAGGCGTGTGTTCGACGCGCGTCGTGACTGGATTCAGTGGCTCCCCTGAACTCGGGAAAATACTGCCCACGTCGCGAGTGGAGCCCTCTGGTGAGGGGACGCCGCCCGACCCAGCCCCTGGCCCGTAACCAGGGGCAGCCGTGCCGGACGCGGCCTGGGCCGCTGAAGGCCGGGAACTTCCCACGCCCAGCCCGAAGTGGGGTGGTTCTCTCGGGCTCAGGTGACAGCCTTGGTAGCGGTAAGAATACGTAGGGTATATTTTTAGGGTGAGGACTTTGGGTTTCTGAGCCCGGCTCTGGTTAAGAGAAAAGGAGCGACCTGTTGCTCCTTCTGAAGGGACTCTGGCAGGCAAGGCCTGTGCTCAGAAAGAAAACGGTGACGAAGTCTTTGGTTTTGGGGACAAAAACATCAGTGGTATTTTCTCTCCAGCATTATAACTTTACTAAGCGCTTCCTACGTGCAGGCATTGCTGTCATTGCTTACATGTCACCTTTTAGCCGATATGCACAACATAAATGAAATAGACACTTCTGTTAGCCTTATTTTACAGATAAGGAAACCGAAGCTTAGAGAGGTAAAGTAACTTACCCAAGGTCACACAGTTAATGGCTAAATCGGGGTGATCTCTCCAGAGCCCTAGTTTACAGTTGCTGTTCTATCTATATGGCCTGGCCCTCTAGTGGTTGGGCTGGAAAACGGGGGAAAAAAGCTTTTAACTCTCAAGTTTGTTTTTTTCTTTTTTGGTCGGGGGTGCCCACTCTGAAACTTTTAGTCTGAACAAAACTGAAAAACACCAAAGTGAATTGCTAACCCCAGTTAATATGTGTGTGTTGGGGGAGGGGGGCCTTAATGAGATTCTGGGGGCCTTAATGAGATTCTGGAATTGAGTTTTGTTAAGTTCTCTGATCCTGAGGAACCAAATTATTCCCTTGACCTACAAGGCAGTGACTTTGGAATCAGGGTATTATAATCCTGCCTGCTACTTCCTAGCTCTCATCTAGAGAAGTCACTTAAATATCAAATGCAGTAATGCCTATGGAAAGCATCTAGCAGTTCACAATAAATGTTATTTTCTTTCCTTTCTGAGCCTTCCTTTCCTCATCTCTAGAAAAGAGAAGGTGTGATCACCAAGGTTTGGAGGACTAAATAAGATAACAGTGTTTTGACCTAAAAGGGCTCTATAAGTATCTGGATAGATTTTTTTTCCACCTTCAGTAATATCGGTTCCTTTCCCTTAAGCACTCTGACTTACAGAATCCTCCATTAAGATTGATATACCTGTCTTTGTAACTGCAGTTTTATGTATCAACAAAAAATTTTAGGGACTTCTTTGTTACAGGTTTTGTATTGGCTTTCAATTTCAGGAACACTAGTGCCTCAAAGGAAAGGAGCTAATGTTTAGTTTATTAAGCTCGAAGCTGAAATAAATTTGGTAGCAGTTCACTGAATTTTTACAGATTGGAAAGCTATCTTAGAGAAGATAACAAAGCTAGTGAGCAGTAAAGCCAGAGTGAGATTCTTACCCATTTTGCTGCACATAATCCTCTTAGAAGACAAAAGGTATGAAGTAAAGTTAGTCCTTTTCTGGTAGACTTTGGAATGAAAGTTCTTCAATGGAGCAACAAAACCTGAGCAGGGTCCTGAAGGATTTTTAGTCCAGAGTCCAGCAACCTTCCCTTTTCTCTCCAGCCCCAGTTTAGGTACCTCTCCCCTGTCAACACCTTTTTCTTCTGAACATCTAGCTATTGGTGGTTTTCTGATTTTTTTTCCATTTATTTGTTCTTTATACCATGTTAGTGAAACTAGCATAGGCTATGTTTAATCCTAACATGGATTCTGAGGTTATTCCCATTTATAAAAGTATAAACTGAGGCTCTGAAAATAGGTGACTAGGACAAGGCTGGTGATCTAGGTCCTTTGGGTGCTGGGGGACACCAAACACAGTCTGTACCACACCTCCATGAATCTAGATCCTGCTGTATTTCACTATCACTCAGGTGTACTCTCCTATATCTTATACTGTTTCTCCTGTGCCAAAATTCAGTAGCCGTAACAGGCCTTTGTAGTGATTTCACTGCTGTTAGGAGCCCTGCCATGGCGGTGCTTGCCACTGTAAGTTTCCTGTTCTGATTCTCCCTGTCAGAGACTGTAGCCTCTCAAGATAAGTCTTGGCGGATGCTGGTTGTTTCATCACCTTCCTGCCACCTTGCTAACCAGGAATCTGGTAGCCCCTTTCCAGCCCCAGGGAGTAGGTCTTGATTAATATAAACTCTAAACCCATCATTGTAATTCATTCTCCCTAGGCTGTGATTGATTTAGGCATGGGCATGTCATGCAGTTCTGGCTAGTTATACATGAAGGGAATCCGGAGGACTTATGGAAAAGTCTTACTTAAAAGAGATTTGCTAGGTTTTATTTTGTTATTTTTTTGCCAGCTTATATTTTAACCCAGGTATCGCCAAAGCATGAGACTTCAAAGAAATAGAGATGGGAAAGCTGTGTCAGCACTTATATAGAATTTGTAATGTGCTAGGCACTAAGTACTGTAATATTAACTAATTCTCAGATTCTCTTATTCTAGATGAGGAAACAAGCACAGAGAGAAATTCAGTAATTTATGAAAGGTCAGAGTATATAAATAGAGGAACCACTTAGTATATATAATTCTAACCAAAATATGGGCTATTAAGGGCTATATTCTGGCTCTGGGAAGGAAAGAGCCCTTTTCTGACTCCAAAATTGCCATTAGCTATGCTGGGCAAAATTTATGAATAACAGCAGGTAGTTCTAAGGGTTAGGGTAGAGAAGATGGAAGGAATCTGATCTCTTCGTTATGTTTTTGAGCCACGGAATTAGCGAACTTTGAAACTGTCCTGGCTGTGGGTTTAACTAGGATACTGAAAGTCACTTCTAGTTTGCTTTTGGCTGCACCCAACAAAACCTTTCCAACTGATAACGATTCCAGATGAGGAAGTAGTTTAGCCCATCTCCTCTTTTAGTTTCCCTCCAGCCTTGCCCATCCACCCCTTAGTTCCTACCTAACAGCTACTTGCAGAAAAGGCACTAAACCATCAATCACCATCTAAGTGTACAACAAGCATCAAACTCACTCCCTCTTCCTGCCTGCTTTTCCTGCATTTTTATTAACGGTGGAAACATTGGCCCAGACACTATGGCATAAGATAAGAAACCTTACCCTTTGTTTTCTTGGTCTTTTCTTCCCTTTCTGTATTTGCAGTTGTTGGATATTTGTGTGGTCCTGTTATCAAGGTCTTGCCTAAATTGCTTTGTGTAGAATATTGATTCTATGGTCTTTAAACTTGCTGGCTCTCAGGCTTATCAAAATGAAAATATGGATAATACTGTGTATCAATGTTGTTAAAATGTAAGATTCCATGAAGTACTAGATATCAAGAATATTGTAAACTGTAAGGGTGTTGCTACTTCAGAAGCCCTCCAAATCTCTTCTGCAGCCTTCCCAACCACTACCAGTTCTGTTGTAACAATGTTGTTAAGACACTCATCTATCCAATCTTGTTGCTAATGTTCAGTTTAGAAACCTTTACAGACTTTTTATTGTCTACAGGATAAAATCACAACCCATAGGATATGGTATTCAAGGCCTTCCTATTTACTTTACTAATCTTACTCCATTTAACATTTATCCATACGTCCTGCTTTCCACTCAGACTACCTCCTTTGTACTTCAGCATTCCTGGCAAAGAAAGTGACAAAGCAATCCCTTACCCACTCATATTTTCCTGAGGAATTCTTACCTATTTTCAATGTCTAGTTTAAATGTTAACCTCCTTCATGAACCTTTCCCACATACTTTATGCCTTCCAAACTAGACGTGAGCTCTCCTGAATTCCATAGCACTTTGTTCTTGCCTTTCATGGAGCTCTTTTCGTGTTGTTTTTTGTGTTATAATTATTTCATTCTGTAATAGAATTTGTTCTTTGATCAGTACTTAATCTCCAGAGCCTCGTTTTCTTCATCTGTAAAATAGGGATAACAGTATCTACCTCATAGGAATGTAAGGGGGATTAAATGAGTTAATACATGTAAAGCGTTTTAGCCTGGTGTTTAGCACATAATAAGTACTCAGTAATAACTAACTGCTGTTGGTCACTTAGTGAACAGATAAAGGACTTACTATGTGTCAGGCCCTATACTAAATATTAAAGATGAATCTGTTTGTCTTTGAAGAGGGCATGATGTATTATGGGTACTTGTCAAAGTCATGTAACTTTTTAGGGGCCAGGCAGCAGCAGTTACTCAGTAATTTCAGCAAATGTTTATTCAATGCCATCTGTGTAGCAGGGACTGTTCTGGCTGCTCTGGAAATACAGTGGTGAACAAAACAGACAAAAATCTGTCTTCCTGGTGAAATCCCAGAGTTTAAATTCTAAGGGTAATTGAATGAAATCAACCAAAGGAGATTGGCAGGCCAACTACATAGTCCCATGAAGTCTACTGAGCTCCAGCCAGTTGTTGCCATGGAGGAACTTAGGTCTGCTGCTCCCTTATAACACAGTTTCCTGTCCTTTTCCACACTCCTTCCTCCTTCAGGTTGGAAATCCAGATTTTCATATGGTATCAGTGGATTAAACATCTGTAGATGT